TCTATTTCCGGTTTCGTTTAATGACCGATGTATTTTGTTATAAACACATTCCTTCACATTTACATTTTAATGTGCATTAAAGTATTTCGTGAGGCCTTCTAACATGTTTTTAAATATAACTACGGTTGTAGTTGAATAGTTTGTAAATTAACATGAACCGAAGCTGTTGCTTGGCAACTCAATCGCACAACGTCACGTCCGTTAATTCCACATCCACACGCATGGATTAACATCGATTTAATACATGAATGTAGCCTTTGTTTATGCTAAAAGAGGTGTCGACCAGCTGGGGCAACAAGAAAATCGCTGTAATCGAGTGTGACTATTAAAAAATAAATCATTACGTCGGGGTAGCATTTGCTTGGTATTTCCGGTTATTTCTCCACTGGTTAACATGGGTTAACAATACCGTGTAGCTGTCACGTTTGAAGGGGACGAAACCGTGACATCTTCACGTCTCCCAGCATGGTAAATCGTCACATGTTCACGTCTTGCCGTGATACCGGGTTGGTTTTAGGAGTATAATAATTATCTTTATGCTGGTTGGTCTCCCACCCTCTGCGGGTTATCAGCACAAATGATGTCCCCATATGATCAAATCCACCATCCCCCCTGATTTTTTTTTACAACTTGAGTACTGGTTACACACCCAGGGGTCGGCAACAGGCGGACCGCGGTCCGGACGCCGACCTATACGGACCCGGAGCTATAATTAATACATTAATAGGGGATTTTTCGGCGCCTCCCGACTGACGGACAACTTCTCACTTCAAAAAAGAAGAAGAAATCTAGACCGCAAAAAAAATTAAACAAGCGAGTAGGCCTACCTGTTTTTCCTGGCCAAGGACAGGTTCCTTGAACACAACACGAGCGTAACTGTCTTCACGTGGTATATGTCTCGTCTGAAAGGAGTGCTGACAGAGAGCACCGGAACGCCGCTCCAGCCCTTCAAATATTGCAATACTCATAAGGAGCCGTACACATGCCGCAGTGTTTGCGTGGCTGTGTCTTTAGTAGTTGTAAGCACAGTGGCGATCTGTTGTTGTTAGCATCTGGTTAGCTAGCTATGCTAACGAATTTAAAGAGCTTTTCTACAACCAGGTGGAAGAGAGCTCTCTCCTGAGAGGCTCAAATAACCTCAGCTCAGTGAGGTTAACCTTGATATGATCATTATAGTTATTAATGAGACTAAATGAAAAACAGGTATAAAATACTATATGACAGTAACAAAAAAGTTGTTAAAAATAACAAGAATAGAGTTTGAAAGGGGAGTGATTTGTAAAATATCCAAAAAGAAAAATATGCTTACAGTTCTGTTTCATATGGGTGTTGAGAGATGTATCCATAGATCTCTTAATGTTGCTCTCAAAGTGCACTAGATTGATGCTTTTAACTTCAATATTTAAAAAAAAATCTTCCCGGGGGAGCATGCCCCCGGACCCCCCTAGAGGAGGTTAGGATACTAAATACATTTGCACACATCTTGTGTCCATATCTTTCTGTTTGGGTGGTCATGCCACACCGTGCACATGCATGCATGAGTCATGGTGAGATATCTGGATTCAGAGGTTGCTTTTTCTTTGCACAGCATGAAAGAAAGAAGAAATGAATGGGCTGTGATTTTAGTTTTTTTAAGCAAACGTTGAGTTCAATCATTTGTACGACCCTCGGAGGATGTTGTAAAAATTGAAAGGAAAAAGGTCCCCACCCTTTCTGTAAATAATATTAAAAACCCTTGATTTATAACTTAACATCTCTGTCTCCTATTGATCTGAGTATATTATAAAGAACAGTTAATTGAAGCATTATAGCACAGGCCTTTGTCAGATGGTATTACGCTGTTTTTGTTCTGCTTCGAATAGTTCTCTCTCTTTTCACCATACCTGTGTTTGCATCACTGAAACCAATGAGCACCTACGTATGAGAATGGCCCTGACACCATTTCAGCCCAGATTTACAAACTCCTGGCAGGACAAGCTCCAGCTCAATTCTCACACTGAATAAAACAAAGTGAGTGAGGGACTGCAATATAAGAGGGAGAGAAAGAGAAACTTTAAACTGTTCAATTGTTATGATGTAAAGACTGATATTGTTCTATAATCGGCTGAAACTGTTAAGTCATGATGTGAAACGGTTAACAAAGAAAAAGGGAAACTCAAGCTGCTGCTACACTTTATTTTATTTATCTAAAATTAAGCACTTTTAAGATGCACATATTTTCAAAAGCTATTTTATTTATTTTCTCTATTTTATTTGTAAATGCAGCCCGAGAGGAACATTACACATATCCACAGTATTTAAGTAATGTTAATTTACAATAAATTGTTGTTTTTGAATTGTACTTTCTTTATTTGATTGGCAGTCAGTTGTTGATTACATGCAGACGTTGATAAAGCTACTTCAATATATATCACACTAATTCATGAAGCAAGTTAGACATTTTGATGTTCCGGACCTTTGCATGGGGACATTTTCTCTAACTGGACCTCGTTGAATTTTAGTTAAAGACCCCTGCAATAGACCATTTCGTTTTTGAGTATTGGTTGGAAAGAAAGCAATTTGAAGAGGTCACCATGGATTGTGGTAAATTCCGACTACAGCGTAAAAGATTTTCTGACATTTAATACAACAAAAAGCAATGAACAGATTAGATCATTAAGAAAGCCCTTAACATTTACTCTGCACTTCTAATCTTTGCGACCGACGACACGGGTTCAAACATATACAGTATGATGTGGTCATTTCTGTTCAATCAGACTTAAGTGCAAACCTCAAAGACATAACTAACCAACAGAGAATATTGTATAAAGTGGATATCACATGTACCACATATACCAAAGCAAATGCCTCGTATGTGTAAACCTCTTGATAATAAAAACAGATTCTGACATCAATATATTCACGAGGAAGTCAAATGCTCTTTAACTGTGTACCTTTCTCCAAATCTTTGCATATGTTCATCCAGTTAATGTTCCTTTGGGCTCGTCATTAGATCATAATACAAAGTACACTGATCATTTAGTAACAGTTGTTTCTTTGGTCATGTAGATGTTTTACTAAGCAATGCATTGCCCTGAATAAAGCATTCAAACTGTTTTAGGGGAGACCTAATACCCAGACCTCATTAAGGTACCTGTCAAATCAAAATGCCTTTCCAAGCATACTGATTTAATAAGATATAGACCGTGTAACTCATCGTACTTAAACCTTCCTCAACTGATCTTATTCTGTTCTCTAGAGATGTGTATTATTTTAATACATCACAAGCTGAAGTAGGTTGGGATGTATAGGAGGCTTAAGGCTGCTTTCTAACCCTGAGACTCACTCTGCCTGCACTGCTGAATGCCTACCAGCCGGGACACTTCACTGCCTGACCTCTGACCTCTGAGCCCCCTGCAGGAGAAAGAAAGAGTTTCTCAAATGGGAACGACGAACATTTAATATCACAATATTTAAAATGGTGATAATAGTAGATGTCAAGATGTGCAACAGAGTAAATGACAATCAAAATATATTCTGTACCTTTAAATTCATGATAAATAACAGAATATATTTGTGTTAATGTAACGTGAAATCTATCGTATTGACTGTTTAAATTAATAAAACTGATTCAAAACCTCAAAAAGCAAAGCTATAGTTTCACATGTACTTGTGAGGGCTTTCGTGACACAAGAAAGTACTACATTACCATTGATAAAACTAATTAAAAAACATTTTTGCAATATCTGTCCTTCGACTTTCACCTCCATGTTATCTAACAGCACCCTCTAGTGGGCACATGCCACATTGAAGGAACGTCTCGGTTACAGTTGGCTATATGACTACTTCTTCTGGGCACTCATTTCCTCATACCAACTTTATAATGCATTATAAAAATGAAGAAATAAACATTATCAGTGAAAAAATAATTCAAACATGACAGACTTTGTGTAGGAAACATAAAAAAGTTTTAATCTGAAGCGGAGGGTTCGCCAAGGAATCCAATGCACTGTACAAGGTTAACTTATTTTACACTAAAATACAAATAAAAAAAGGTTACCACAGTTCAAACCAGGCGGAACAAAAGTCACAGATACGTTCATTATCACACTGGAAGAACAGAGCATTGACACATTTGAATAACATGTTTTTGATTAACCCATAAAACTCGTAACGTTGACATATCTGTCTCATTGAACCTCATTAACACAGACATATGCAAGCATTTAGGTACCTTAACCAACATGTATTCCCCTACTTTTGTCATATTATGCTATTTTGTTGTTCTCAGTGTTAAACAAACTTATCAGTGACCATGTACAGATAGAAAGTAGAAATCAGTGCCTAAATGTTTCACATTTATGTACAGAGAAAAACAAAAGAGACAGACTTAAAACAGGAAGGCTCTGGAGACCTGTGTTACAAATAAAACAGCATTTCCACATCATACAGGATGCAACTGCTCTCATCTGCGTGACAAGGTAACAAAAAGAAAAATGGAAGTACCTTAAATCTGGCCCAAAGACTTGTTTCCCAAAAGGCAATAAATAAAAAATACAATAATTCTCTCCCTTAAAATAAAACATGTTGGTAAAACTGCAGCCTAGAGAACTGAAAAGGACTTCATGATGAAAAGATGACGTCCAGAGATCCCAGTTCAGTTTCAAAAGTCTGCCGAGATGAATTCAGTCAGGGTTATTTAGAAATAAAAAAGTTATTGAGAAGACCATAGTACAAAGTGACCTTCAGAATATGACAACGGTAAAATAACAAAGGAGGTAATGTCTTTGAGTGTCCATCTGCGCCTGACATGTCATGCATGTTCAATCGCCTTCAACAAACCCATCGTTTCAACATCCACCACTCTTTCAAAACAGGATGCACCAGTATCAGATTCCTATGTATTTCCAATTAGACCATGAAGCAATAATACATGATGAACAGCAGGAATAGGAGAGACACTTGAGGAAGTCTCCTTGGCATTTCCAGATTCTATGAACACAAATGTAGCAGTCAGGGTAGCACCGTTTTCTAAAGTTATTTAGTTGTAGAAATGTTGATACCGGTGCATGCTTACTCCCTATACAACAAAATGAGCAGACGTCAGTAAAATCAAGCCATGACAAGTAAAGCTGGAGGAACATACATAGGAAGTGTGCATACAAAATGGCCGTCCCACAAAATGTAGAAAATGGGCTTTACGTACGTAACGTTTTCTGCAAAACAAACAATTATGCACGTGTCATTTTAATATCTAAGTCCCTTAATCTGTTTTCAACAACAGGGCCTTCATCAGGTATAAGTGCTTCTTGAGTGTTGACCAAATATACCCAGATACTGGGCATTACATTAGGGCAATATATTAATATCCATATCGTCAGATTGTGATTTAGGATATCGTAAAATAGTGTTTCTTGGCTTAGATGAGATTTGATTTTCTAGATCTATTAGTTGTAATTACGAATGATTATTTATCAAAAAGCACCATCAGCACACCTCAGAATATCAATATATTTGATAAGGAATATTGTGATATACTCTATATAACCCAGCCTTACAGTACACGCACATGTTAAAAAGATCAGACTGTAACATTACTGCTCATTTCAACCTTCTCAAAATCATACAAAAACTTTCTTTAGACTTTCCTTTAAACCTTCAACATAACATACCACCCTCACCACGTCACACTTCCATCATCCAGCTGACGAAAAAGTAAAACAAATTAAGTATTTAAAGTCCTGTTAGACTGTAACATTTCATATTCGACGGATTCGTTAACAGTGGGTATTTTCACAGTCTGAGAGAGTAGTGATTATCAAATTAAACCTATTTTTCATATCCAGATTTAAAAACATTGGAAATATAAAGTGACCTGCTCACTGACTCGGCATCAGCGGCACAACAAAGAGAGAACATCACCCAAAAATATCATTCAGTAACCAACATATCGTACCGTAGACACATCTCCCAGTTAAAAACACACACACTTACAAACACACTGTACAACATGTATACATATCCTACACTTACTAGTGGTCATAGAGTTTGATACAGTAGCTACAAATAAGAGTTTCAATAAGCAGGTCCGAGCCAGAGGAGCCAAAGCAAAGAAACAGGAAGAGCTAAACAATAACCCCAAAGTGTTATTCAAAACAGAGCAGCATGCAATGTGACGAGCGTTAATGCTTTTAAGTTTAAACTGATCTCTGAGCAGATCTTATAATGCAGACTTGTTGATAAATCCATTCAAAAAGTCACAATGGAATTTGAATAGTTCAGATTCAAATGTATAACTTTGATAGCCGAGTAATGCAACAACATTATTGAAACCTGACAAATAAGTGGTATAGAAACTAAATTAAGAATGTTACAAAAAGATACATTTGCATTCGTCACAGAAACTGATGCATTTGCTCGCATTGACTCTTAAATTAAAACAAACCAATTATCCTTGCACCCAGTTCAACTTAAAGTGTTGCTCGTCATCATTACTTTATTCAAGATACGATTACTAAACTAAATCATGATAAAATAAATACTGTCCAACCTGATGCACAATGCACTATAATCTGAATAGTAGAAGTACGAGAAACCTGGGACTTTTCTCAAGTATTTCTGAAAGTAAAAAGGGGTTTTAGCTTCAGATATCACGTATTGAAGTCATAACTGTTTTGCATGTTTGGAAGCAGTCATTTTTTCCCCATTAGGCATCTTTACATTAAGGGTATCTAAGAGGGGGAGGGTTTAAATCAACTGGAAGTACCACTCACGTCTAGATGTCTGTCCAGCAGTGATTTCCTGGCTTTGGTTTGGCTGCTCTGGCAGAGGCTGAATGCTGCTTTATATTAGTCACAGTTAAAATAGACTGACTACGATGAAAACATGATAATAAACAAGAGGAATATTTATATAGTCTGAGACAAGGAGGAGGAGGTGTTTTTACAGCGAGATCTCCTGAGCAGGAGAGAAACACATCCGGGTCACAGAGGGGGAGTTCTGCTGGAGAGGGAGGAGGAGAGGAGGAGGGGAGGAGAGGAGGAGAGGAGGAGAGGAGGAGAGGAGGAGATGGATGGATGGATATATGGGGAGACTCATAAATACAGTTTACGCTAAGAAATATCACATTTGTCCAACATGTTAAACTAAACGAGGATGTGGTGGAGCAGTTTCCCACCAAACGCCACAGGGTTTCTACATTTGAAAAGATTTTTTTAACAACTTAAAAACTGCTGACACACGAAGATCTTCACCGTATAGTTCTGCCAAATTACATTTCAGTATGATAACCTTATTATTTAAAGACACAGGAAACTTCTGTGCATAACTGATATAATAATTATATTCTATTACGGCCCGTCCACACAGCGGCGTGCGTTGAAGCTTGCCGGCGGGCGTGTCTGAAACTCCACCAACAACCAATCACATGAATCTCCCGCCCCTGACACACAAGCAGCGGTTTGATTGGCTAGAGCTTGTACTGGCATGTGATTCGATTGGCTGACGCTTCTGCCGAGGCTTCAAAAGTTGAACATTGCTCAACTTTTGCAGCGAACCACGCCAGCAAAGCTCCGCGTCGCTTCCCGCAATGCAGTTCGGCGAAAAGTGACGTCACCCCATTCAAAGTGAATGGTGAAGCTTTCAACGCACGCCGCTGTGTGGACGGGCCGTAATAGGGATGTAACGATACCAAAAACTCACGGTCCACAAGTCCACGGTACGGTATTTATCGCGATATTGAAAAAATAAATGCAATAAAATATAGATTTTTTTTTTCTAACAATTTATTTTGAAATGTATTTATTTTTTACTTGAAAACATTTTCTTTATTAAATAATAAATCTGATTTGTACAGCATTTTAGTAGGATAGTAGTATTTTAAAGTGTCAAAAACAAAGTGACAGTAACAGACTGGAACAACAACAACCAGTGTTTTTGTACCTACTAGTACTACCAGACAAAGTAGGCATTTTTTTTTTATAACAATGACGGAAAAATCTGAAAGCAGTCTGTCATTTTGACGGATTAGAACAAACTCGGAACAGCGCCAACGTTTCCCCGCAGCGAGGCTCTGGTGTTTGCCGTGTTATGCATGCCCTCCAAAGGAAATTATATAGTTTCCAAACCGTACTTTGCCGTACAGATCATTGAAATGTCTGGGTTTACGTTGTGCGCGCTCCCGCGAGGAGCATGCATATCTCGGTGGGCATGCATAACACCGAGATATAAATATACTGTTGGTACTTGTCAATGTCTCTAGGTGTGTACATGTAGCCCTGTAAATACGATGTCCTTTTGTGTTATCTGTTGTTTTATGTTCATGTTGCTACTTGCTGCCGTGTTGGACAGGTCTCCCTTGAAAAAGAGATCGATGATCTCAATGGGACCACCTGGTTAAATAAAGTTTTTTTTTTTTTTAATAACCATGAAATATCGCTGTAGATTTTGTCAGTCTCACGACGGCATTGAGACCTTTATATCGTGGTATCGCGATATATCGTTACATCCCTAATATATATATTGCTAATGCCATTGTTTTGAAGTCTTTGGACATAGTCCTCAGTCTCAAATGCTTAAATTGTTTATGGATGCATTCAAATTTAAGACACTTTTTTTTTGCATGAAGTCATACTGGGATGTTTGCTGAAATGTATATGTGGCACAGCAGTGATTTGCTTTGTTTGGAAACCGTGTCATACCTTAGAAACCTTCAGCACTCTGTCCTTGAAAGCAAAGTCCGGGTTCTTGACTATCAGCCCCCCCTTCCCCAACATGTGACCATTTAATGGGCTGTTCACCTGTACACACAATTAAGAATATTATTAATATTTTTGGCGGATTGAATATCTTCCAAGAGAAAAAGATAAATGAAAGAATACAAAGTACAACAACAATACAAAATGCATTAGATAGTAATCCTAAGACAATTTCTAAAAACAAAAAAATACCAAGTCTTACCCCCTGTAGGATGACGTTCTCTTTACCAGCTTTTCTTCCCGACTTGGAGTCGATATCTGGGGAGATTTGTCGGAGCCGCCTCTCCGCCGTCGGCTGCTCACCGCGAGCTTTGCGCTGTTACCAAAAGTACCAGGTGGAGAAAAAACGGTTATAAGTTTAGTTTAGAAAATATAAGTCATGTTGCTGAAATAATTTGACACAAAGAGATGCATTGCTTTATTCAAACCCTCGAATCACAGTTAGCTGTTAGACCACCAGTTGGACCTTACAAATGTAAGCAGGCGTTTGTTTTAGATGTGTTTAACTTGCAAATGTTAAGAAGAAATGAAAACAACTTGTAATCAATGTTCAGGCACATTTGGAGCTTGCCGATACACACAACTCTTCGTGTGTGTTCTGCTCGGCTCACCGGTCCGTCACAGCAGGTGGAGCTGTAGGATTTCCGCTTCACACACACACACGTTGCATACCGCTATTTTATTGTCATTTTCGGACACCTTAAAATACTGCCAGACTGGTCAAGCCATTGTGGCGAGCTTTTTTTTGCCGCGCACAGAGAAAAGCGTCATGTATTTTACGTCATGTGAACGGCCTTTATAGAGAGCACCGATCGATCGGCAGAGAGTGAATATCTCGGCGGCCGATCGAAGCATCCCTAATACTCAGTAATTGTTTTTGTTTGGCTTGGCTTTTGATTAGTGCACCAAGTGTTTGCTATTTTAAACCTGGCTCCATGAGTCCAATATAATGTATTTATAATAATATATCCTGGCCAATTGTATTCATGAAAGCTTACCGCAACCATATCCTTGATGTTCACGACTAAAAAGCACTCTCAACTCTTGTAAAACATTTCCAGCAATGACTCCGAAGTTTGACATGATCTTGGTTCCATACATGGGCGTAATTTCCACTGGGGACAGGGGGGACATGCCCCCCCCACTTTTCAAAATCCCGTTTGTGTCCCCCCCACTTTTCAAATGTGTTTATTATTTTTTTTTTTACGCAAGTGGTCATCGTCACGGAGGAGCGTCTGTGTGTGTGTGGCACGAGCACATTTTGTGAGAGAGAGACAGAGTTACGGGGTTGTTGTTAGCATCTGATGCTAGCTCGGAGCTAACGGAGATTAGAAGCTGTTTCAACAATAAGGAGAGGGAGAGCTCTCTTCTGTCGGACTGAGAGGGATAACGTCAGTTTAGGTGAGCTAAAGGACTCGCTGAGTGATTAGATTGTAAACTTTAGTCCAAGTTATCTCAGTGGGTCTCAAACGGTTTGGTCGTCTATGTAAACAAATATTTCCATCTATTTAATATAGTTGTTCAAAATAAGTTAAGAAATCCTTCCAATGTCAGTAAAAAATCTAAAACACAGTTTAAAAAGGGGAGTGATTAGTAAAATATGCATAAATAAAAAGAAAGATTGCAGACTAGGTAAGATAAAGAGAGGAGTATATCAATTATTTGTTATGAGCATATTCTAATGGTTTTTGCAGCATTGAAATATATACAGTTCTGTTTCATATGAGTAGTGCTGCGTACCTGGACTCACATTCAGGTTCGGACTCAAGTCCAGAGGTTCAGGTTCAGGTCCGGACTTATAAGTCCGGACCTGAACCTATGGCTTGTGTCAAGTTGTGTGAGTAACTAAAGTGAACTTATTGTGAGCTAATTATCAATTGAAAATTAACTCATAATCAACTCAAACTCGTCAGGTTTATTGTGCTCCCTTCCAACTTGTGTCTACATTTCTCTACAAAGTACAAATGTAAAAAAAACACTTTTTGCCACATAGTCTACAAATGACTTATGACAGCAACTACAGTGAACTACTACAAAGTTCAAACTAAAGTAACCAAACTGTCCCTGAGCTGACTGAGCCTAAATCCCTAAAACGTTGCTGAAAGGTAGAGTGTAGAGTAGACTATACGCATTACACTGTTACACACCTACTATACAGTATAGGCTACACTGTAGTGACTGTACAGTCAGAGTGTACTGTCTGTACACCATGTCTTTTCTACAACTCTACATGTGTACATTATACAGTACATACTACATACATAGTGATGTGCATACATACTGTTAGAAATTAAAATCAATGTTGATATGGCGTAATTTTGAATTAAATACACTATTTAATTTAAATCAGTTTTATTCTGAAAAAACCGGAAGTTCACACTATTAACTTAATACTTTTATTCTGAAAATTATTCACTTCCGGTTAGCATTAGCATGTGGCGAAATGCTACGTTTTCAAACCGTGAATCGAAGGTGAAATGACATGTGATGTTGTACACTGAGCACACTGGGATTAGCACTCATTGATTGACGCTGAATAACGTTTATCAGGGAATGTTTAAATAACCACAGACACCAGAATATACGTAAGTGCTAGTTTTTTTTGCGAGTCCAAGTACCGGTTCCCGACGTTCCGGTTTTAACCGGACTTGAACCGAAACTTTTTACAAGTCCAGTACCGGTTCGGCGTACCGGTACGCAGCACTACATATGAGTGTTGAGAGCTGTATCCATAAATCTCTTCATTTGTGCACCAGATTGATGCCTTTAACTTCAATTTAAAGAAACAAATCTTCCTGGGGTGCATGCCCCCGGACCCCCCAAGAGGAGGTGAGGTCCACCCACAAATAAAACAGGCTCACATGGATGGGATACTAGATAAGTTTGCACACTCATTATATACACTACACATTTGTCTTGGATTTTTTAACACCATATTCCCTAATATATTAGTACTAGTTTTCTTCAAGGTTGTGTCTTCCTGGTCGAATGTACTTATTGTAAGTTGCTTTGGATAAAAGTGTCAGCTAAATGCAATGTAATGTAATAATGTAATGTAATTAGTAGAAAGGCAGGAAATGGAATTAAATCGAGAACAATGTTTCAATGTGGAGGAACCCCTGTTTTGTGCCCCCCCCCCCACTTCTCAAACCAAAGTTACACCCTTGGTTCCATATAACATAATGCTAATAAAAAGTGGAAATCATATATTTTGTTGTTCTCGTCATTGTGACTTTCCTGGATGGTTAAGTACCTTGATGAGGCCTCCAAAGGAGCGGGAATGTGGGTGTTTCTTGCTGGCAGTGGGCGGGACCTGAAGGCGGTCGTTGGTAGGCGTCCCTGAGGTTGTCTGTTTGACTAACTGCACATAGAAAGAAGAAAAACATCACTTAGTTTCACATTTCACACACACACACTCTGAATCATAGTGACATGCAAGCTGTCTTTGGCTCTTTCATGCTGCGTGGGAAGAATAAAGGTATTCTGATGCATTCAGGTTATACATGTTTTCAGTTCATCTAGCAGAGCTTTAAGACAGTAAAATAAGACCCCGAGTTGAACCTGTCGGACGAGTTTCTTCTTCTTGGCGGAGTCGGGCATGCTGTGGTTGACGTGTCTGAAGAGGTCCTTCAGAGCCTCCTCTGTGTACTGCTGGGCCGGGGACTGGCACTGCTCCTGGGGGGGGGCCGACCTCTTTAGGGGCAACGCGGTCCGCTGAGCAGGAGATCTGCTGGCTGCAAACAGCTCCAGATCATCCTGAGTGAGGAGAGGGGGGGGGGCGGTCAGACTGGCTGTGGACTTTGAGGATGGAACTGCTGTGTTGATATTTAATTCAGACACTTGTTTGCAATTGTACCGTTTCAGGTACCGCTCAAAAACACACCCGTTTGCTAGTGGCTCTTAAATGGTGGAATGGGCTCCCCATTGCCAACAGGACAGCATAAACTCTGCATGTCTTCTGTCGCAAACTGAAAACCCATCTGTTTCAATTGTACCTTCTCAAGTACCCCTAGGGGTCCACATACCCCAGGTTGGGAATAGGGTTGCAAAGGGGCGGAAAGTTTCCATGGGAAGTTAAGCTGGGGAATTTTGGAAATATTCGATGCAAAATTAAACAAAAAAACATGACATTTCAACAGATTTGTTTTAAATTTATTTTTTAAGTAGAACAGAACAAGTTTTAATTATTTTATTGAACAATTATTTGTTTCATTGAAGAACGAAAACAGGAATGTTGAGTTAAATGTTACTCATCCCCCTCATTACAAAATGAACAAAAATGCACCCCCCATCCAAAAATCCCCACAAAGTCCCATTAAACATGCAAATCTTCCTTCAAGCGATCCTCTGCATTTTTGCTAAACCCTTTCAGTCAACGGGCTCTTCCTGGGCCTCATCAACATCACACTCTCCCTCTCCCTCTTCCTCTTCAGTGTCACTGTCCAGCCTGGTTGAGGATGGCTCTTTGTCCGTCCGGCTCAGAGAGTCTTAGGTTTGCCCGAATGCCAACCAGTTGTTCCACTCTCACAGTTGTGAGCCTGTTGCGAACCTTTGTGTGGTCTCAATAGCCATGCAGTAAGCAGTGTGCTATGGCATGGATATTCAAGTGTATGGCATCTGTTTGTTTTAGTCAAGATTATGCTAAAATATACTTTCCCCAAATATATTTAAGTTCCCTATGAATAGCCAACCTTCAATTTAGAAAATTCCCATAAATTCCCGTTTATTCCCGTGGAAAGTTTCCATCTTTGAAAATTCCCGGAATTTTGAAACCCTAGTTGGGAACCACTGCGATGATGTTTACTAACCTTGGTCTGCAGAGCCTTGGTGCCAGTGAAGTGCATTCTGGCGTATTCCCGCAGGTAGACTGGAGCCTGAACAACATGCAGCAAACAGTCACTCATCCACACGGTAAACATTTAACCCGTCACATGTTACGTTTCTAAAGCCACATTTGTTTCTGTGCTTGAGTAAAGGAGAATAATAAATCACCCTGAAGAGCTTCTGTGAGTGTTTGATGAGGAAGGCCATGCTGCTGTTCAGTTTCTTCAGATTGTCTTTCAGGTCACAAGCGGTCATCTACAGCAGGAGAGAAAACAGAATACATGAAGTGCTATTTAGAGATTTAGACCACAATATCGTTTCACCAACAGACAGCAGGGTAAAGAGTGGTTTTCTTTATATGGCCTTTGCTTTAAAAAGAATAGGATTGCTTTATTCAGGTTCAGGTTATTTATTTGTACGAATATTATTTGCTTAGTTAATTGATGCAATGGCAGCTGGAACAGAGCTGTGTGTTCATACTGAAAAGCAGCATGCTACCACTACCCCTTCCTATAACACTGCGACAAAATGAAACTGCTTCTAAATTAAACACAGAGTAGCTTTAAAGACGATGTTTAAATGGTCGTAATGTATGAATATTATACTTTACTCGGTTTCCCACATATTGTATTTATTTTTTCATTGTCTTTAATTCGTTTTGTTTATAGCTTTTGTAATAGTAATGTAATTTGCTACATGTTCTGCTTTCTGTGTGCAACATTTATACTAGGGCTGCTCGATTATGGCAAAAATCATAATCTCGATTATTTGGGTCAATAATTGATATCACGATTATTAAAAACGATCATCCATTTACTTTGAAAACATCCATTTATTGAAAATAAAATGTGAACAGTAAGTTTTTAACAGTTGATTAATAATAATCGTTTTATTTGGATTACGTTGTTTTCATAATCGTTGCAAGCCAAAATCGTAATTGCGATTAATTGAGCAGCCCTAATTTATACCAAAGCAAATTCCTCACATGCGTAAACCTATTTGTAATAAAACAGAATCTGATTTGTGTTTAAGTCTGATCCCAAATTGAACGAAAATAAAAATTGTCTAGATCTACGATTTCGGTCAATGTGAAGCCCCTTGGTCCTTGAACCCTGGTCATGTAGTTCCAATGATAAATCTTACGTTTCTGGGCCAGACGACGTGCGGCGCGAACATGAGGGCCAGGTTGAAGGCGGACATCTTGTTCTTGTCCTGCTGCCTGGCGGTGTGGTAGAGCAGGTCCAGGAGCAGTTTGAGCAGGGACCGGTTGGCCTGAGGTAACAGCAGGAAGAGGAGCTGCAGGGCTTCTATCTGACGCTCCTTGTTGGGCAACGCAGTCTTGTTCCCGAGTTCGTCAAACAGAGTCAGATCTGGAGGGGAAGGAAGTAAGTCATGAATTAATTTACATTCAGACCCCCACAAATAAAAATAAAAATATACACACATAAGGTCATCATATTAACAGTTTGTTATGCTCATCGACTCATCCGTGAGCAGAGCATCAAGTTGGCATGCCTATAACAGCTGAATGAGGCGATTACCATCTTGTTCAGCAAACCGCCAAACTTATTAAGATCCACAGCTTTAGTGCGTTTTGATTCAATGCAGACAAACTTGACAGTCTCTTCTGTCACCGTCCCGTTCAAATGAAATCGCCGCCAATCACATTTCCAAGCTCGCGCCAGTGGGAGGGGTTACAAGGATCGAGTCTTGTGCTGCATTCACTTGCACATTAGGGATTTTCTCTCATAAATGAGCCAAAACTTTTCTTTCAAAACAAAGCTAATTTTCCGGGCCAAATATTATTGCTGGCGGGCCAACAATGGCGCCTGTTGCCGACCCATGAGTACAGTATAAAAAAATGCAACACATGTGTTTAATTAACACAACTTATGCTAATTGTGCAAATTGCCCAATATATGCAAGTTAGCATCAAGCAGTTTATATGTGCTGGGGACCCAGAATATACATTTCTAACATAAAATGTTGGTGTACTCAACATTTTCAGGTTCAGTATTCTGGAAACTAGACTAAAATGGGATTGTATGTTTGTGTATTCATACCGGCTATCTTGAGGTGTGCGTGAAAGTGTCTTTGTGTGAGCAGGGGCTCGGGCAGCTCTCCCAGGAAAGTCTTGAGCAGCGTGGCCACGTCATTGGGGTGAAAGTCTCCAGACTCCAGGTCCACATCCACCCCGCTGTTCAGGAGCTCCTTCAGGGTCTGCTGCCGGACGCTGTTCCCCGGCACCCGAAACAGACCCTCCACGTGCAGATCTGAGTACGAGCAGGTCAAAACGTAAAACATCTGATCATTTATTTGTGTTTTTTTTATTTATTTCAAAGCTAGCTAGGACAAACGGAAAACATGCCATCCACACCATTTTAAAACAAAGAGAAAGGACTTCTGTCCGGGTTGATCAGTGGTGCTGAATTACTGCAGGACAAAAGGCTTGTTCTTTGTACAGAAGGAAGAGTATTATCTATGTGTCAGGAAGTTGTTCTCTTTAAACATCACTAAACAAACTTTTATTAATGTATTTATTCAAAATAACTTACTTTTGCTGAGGTACTCGATGAGCTGGTAGATCTGGGCAATGCAGATTTCTGTTAGCGGGGTTCCAAACACAACCCCTTTTTCTGCGAAAGTAATAGGAGACATGAGTGATCATATTATAACCAGGGTTCATACACTTTCACCAATGACTTCTCCATGACCTTTACCTAATTTTCCATGACCAAAAACATTACTCTTTCTCAGCGGTACCACTGAAAATGTTTTTTTTAAAAACATGGAACAGGAAAATATGGTCTGCATATGAAACAGGTCGTGCCTATCTAAAACAAATCAAATAGGCTAACTAGCTTCTACACGCTAAAGCAACTGAAATCTCTCACCAGCAAAATACCTCGTCAGTTAAATGCCATTTTGCGTTTAATTACTATTAGGGCTGTCAAGCTAACGCGTTAATAACGCAAAAAAAAATTAACGCCGCTAATTATTTTAACGCCATTAACGCATGTGCATTTTTTGTCCTCGGCCGCCCCGTAGTTTCAGAGCGCATCGAGTTTAAAATACCATCTATACAATCCAAGCACACTGCTGATGCCGACGGCCCCGCTCCTGCCGCCCGCTTGCAGCAGACCACACTTGAAAGTGTGCGGGGGAGACGCCTGGACACGTCTACGAGCAGCAAACTTTCAACAAAGATCGCTAAATGGGTGGCGACAGCTTGCAGGCCAATTAACATTGTGGAGGACGAGGGGCTGCGTGATATAATTCGGGTCGCATCCAACGACTGCACTTATGAATTGCCTTCCAGAGCCACCACTGTGTCGGAAATACACAACTTGTATGAAGTCCAAAACTCGAAAGTAGAGGAGGATTTAACTTCCACAGTTGCGCTCACCGGAGACTATTGGACTTCACTCAGTAATGACAGTTACCTCGGGGTCACAGCGCATTATGTTGACCCACAGTGGGAACTTCAGTCTCATGCTTTGACAGTTATGAAAACAGAGGAGGAGCGGCATCACACACACTGAACGATTTTAAATCAAAATTTGAAATGATGCGATTATCAAATCGCAAAGTCTGCGATTTTTTTAAACTTGTTTTGTTCTTCTTGTGTGTCAGTCATCCACACCAATCAGAAGTGCTGTGCTCCACATGTACCAGCCATTGTTAACCAATCAGAAGTGGCCCATGATAGAAGGTGATAGACAGATTGATCCAATCACCTGGCAAGTATTTTTGAAAGTGCCTGCCCTTTCCAAATGGCTTCCAGTGGAGCTCTCCTAGATGGTTTGGTGAAACAAACCGAGTCAGGTTAGTAATGCTCCATCACATGTTTCTATTACAGGGTGAATCTTAAACTGAAGCTTGACTTTAAAGAGGACCAATCATGCTATATTTGAAAAATATATTGTAGGGCCATACCTATATAAAACATTTCTGTGAAGTTTTTTTTTCAAAATACCAAACAGATCCCCCGTTGTAGCCGTGCCTCTTACTGCTCAAACCCCTCTTTTGAAGCCCTGTTAGAGAAACGCAGATTTTGGGTCCTTAGCTTGAAAAAAAAAGAAAGAAGCGGCGGAGCTAATGCCTGATCAGAATTCTAGCGGAGATAAAGTTAAATTCTGCTGTGATAAAACGCCATCCTGTTTAAACCACGTCAAGGATTATTTCTGAAACAGTATGGAGCTCAAATGCTTTTTCTCTTGCAGGTTTATCACAAAGTGAGTTCCTTTTTTTAAACACATGTGCTCTCCAGTACAGGTTAGCTCTGAGTGTTAGCGAGGCTTGTTAATGTAAACAGACGAGATTACATCCAAAACACGTCAGGCATTGTTTCTGATAGCAATTTTCTGTGGGTCCGCTGCCGATTTGACGTCAGATCGGATGGACATGTCACAGCGGATGGAAATTTGGATCAGCTCCGTTGTAGCCCCGTTTGTAGAGATTTGGGTACGGAAGAAAAGAGAGATGGCTGTATTTTCTGTGAGTTCCCCGACACACCGGGGACACATATTTATGCATAAAACAAAAATACATCACAAAGTGCATTTTGCATGATAGGTACCCTTTAAAGCAAGTTAAGCAACCCAACGGAAGTTTCATGTAAGTTTAGTTCTTTCACTCGTATATCGGGCTGCGGGGCTGCTAGAGACGGGAGCACGTTGATGCGACCTTCCTAGCCGGAGATATGGCCGCATTTTACAATAAACTTCCGTTGGGTCGCTTAAAAACAAATATCGCAAATCGAATCACAATATCTGTCAGAAAATACACACACACACAAAAGTATTGTATTGTATGAGAGGTTCCAGGTTGAATTGAGGTGAATATTTGTAATGTTCAGAGGTTGTTGTGTTTAATATTCATGAGAATATTTGTCATTGTTCAAATGATAATAGGGATGCAACGATATATCGAATATCGCGATAAATAAATGTCTCAATACCGTCGTGAGAGACAAATTATACCGCGATTTTTGTTTTGTTTTTAAACCTTTATTCAACCAGATGGTCCCATTGAGATCATCAATCTCTTTTTCAAGGGAGACCTGTCCAACATGGCAGCAAGTTGTAGCATGTACATGTATATCTCGCCCTGTCAATAAGCCTCACCTTCTTGGCATAAACTGTATTGTTTTTGAAGTGGTGGAGAGACAATGCACAGTTTGACCCACTGCTGTCACCCATGGCCAAAGCATATCTCTCTGTCCCAGCAACATCAGTACCAAGCGAGAGAGTTGTTTCCACAGCAGGGGATTTTGCAAACGCCCAAACATCCCAGCTTCTACCTGGAAATGTGGACATGCTCATATTCCTAAAAGATAACCTTGATGGCGCTGAGTGAGTGAGTTAGAGTTGAGTTACTTGAAAAACTAAAGTGAAACTTGATTTATTCTATTGCAGGGTCTGATTATTATATTGTTGACACTTTAAAATACTACTATCCTACTAAAATGCTGTACAAATCAGATGTATTATTTAATAAAGAAAAACAATTCAAGCATAAACATTTTTTTTCGCATTTTTCTTCTTTATTTTTCAATATCGCGATAAATATCGTACCGTGAGTTTTTGGTATCGTTACATCCCTAAATGATGATAAACAAACATTTGCATAAAGCATATTTGTCCACTCATATGTTGATAAGAGTATTCAAAACTTGAAAAGTATCCCTCTAAGGTACATTTAGAACAGATAAAAAATGTGCAATTAATTTGCGATTAACTATGGACAATCATGCGATTAAATATTTGAATCGACTGACAGCCCGAATTACTATACAGGATTTATTATCATTATAGTATTACTATTTCTGCGGTTAGATCAAATATATAGTGGTGCACGATAATTATCGGCCCAATATTAGGAATTATGACGTCATCCCGATAAAAGTATTAGTAGCCCCGATAATATACAATATATTTTTTGGGTAAAAGATACTGCGGTGTGGGTGGATTGGGATGAGGGGCGCTTGTTTTTCACTCGGCTCCTCCCGTTTTGCCAGTACTGTGGTATTAGTGGTTTAGGAAGAGGGGAGTTCTTCACAAATCCAGCGCTCCCTAACTCATGCCTGGCTGTGACGTAAATGGTGTGCGGCCGTGAGCCAGGACAGTAAACAAACATGTCGCCGGTAGTATGGGACTATTTCAAAGTTTCAGAGTTAGATAGTTCGCTTGCCATTTGTATTAACAAATGCAGAAGTTCCACGAGGAGGGAAAAGGGCAACGAGCTATAATACTTCCAACCTGATTAGTCACCTGAAACATCGCCATCGCTACGATGGTGTGTTAAAAGCGTACGAAGACGCCTGCGCTGCTAAACTAGCGGCGAATCCAAAGCCAGCTGCAAAGGCACCGGGGCTTTTACCTATCGACGAGGCTTTTGAAAAAGGCAAGAACTTTATTTGGGAAAATAAATATGGTCACTTTGAAGAGTCAAAACTGTTCTTGGCTTTGTTTTATTCATAGTAGTAATGCTCATGTCATTTGCTCACTACTAGTCTTTGTTTTACCACCAGGTGTGCAAAAACTACAGGTACATTTAATATATATATATATTATATTATTATTATTATTATCGGTATCGGTCTTGAGAAGCAGGAAGTTATCGGTATCGGTTTCAAAAAAACAATATCGTGCATCCCTATATGATACATTAAATGATTGTGAAGATGATGATTGAAAAATCGTTTGTTTGAGCCGGTCTGCATTTCCTGATGAGAAAACAAACGCTACAAATGCTTTTTATAGTTGTAGTACACCAACGTGGATTAAACGTGTGTTTTTTTTTACCACAATGTTGGGGAAATTAATGGATAAAATGCACGGATTATGATTATTCACACTCCGATCGGGACACTAGGTCCACCGTTTCCCCGCAGCGAGGCTCCCCCCGTTGACAGTTTACGTGGACTGGGCTGGGTGCAGTGGCGGACTGGCCATCGGGACCAATCCCGATGAGCCGGTACCGAAGTGGGCCGGTCGGATAAGTCACTAGCACATCCCCCACTCCCCCCCGTTGACAACTTACTAGCGGTACCGAAGTGGGCCGGTCGAGAGTCCCGGGATGATTTGTAGTTCCATTCCACCACTGGCTACATGACCGTATGATCGCCCATATTGACGCACCTAATTCCTAAACTTCTAACAGATACAACATAAAGCGATCCTTCAGCCTCATATGAGCTCTCAGACACGTTCAACATTAAACTGTCATCGCTGTCTGAGCTTGCTGCTGTGTGCGCCATCGTGCGTTTACATGCAGCTGCTGGGATCCTGAACGGTGCAGCTGGAGCGCTGTGCCCGCAATGACGTCACACATAGTTTGGCGGGACTTGAAGAATCCCCGAGCAGATCCAGGAAATGGTCAACATTGAAGGGCAGATTAATGGTTATCAAAGTACAAATATCCAAAATCAGTTCAGTAACGGTTTTCAAGGGGACAATATTTACTCAAATTGATAGGTTTGGATGATGGGGAAACTCGTGTCACAGGCTCTTTAACACCAATGACCATCTCATCTATACATCCCATTGAAGGAAATATTAGTAGATGAAATTCAATAGACTTTATTAATCACAAATTGGGAATTTTATGAATGTTTGTTTTACATTTTCCCTTCATTATAGGTAAATGTTAAAACTAAAAACAACGAACCAACAATTACTAGTTTACAACTGTTGGGAAGGTTTTCAGATGAAAATTACAATTGTTCTTATAAATAGTTCTGTAAATATCAAATTGTGAAAACAAAAACAGAGAGGGGCTTTCACAGTTCCTATTGCAAGAGTTCATTTCTACAGGTCACATAGTTGAGCTTTTACCTTTGCGTTTGAGGAAGTTGAAAGAGCGAAAGAAGCCTCCATTTCCACCTGTTGCGGTCTTCGGGCCCTCCTCACCAAGGAGCTGTGCAAACTCTGTCCCGGGAAGATCTATGAGGCGAGTGATGTTACTTAGTACCAGCTCCAAGAATATATCCGGGTTCTCGTGACGGAGTTTCTCCACAAAAAAGTCTGGGTTGAATATGACTGGAGGTCGGCTGGGACGAGAGCCACCAGGTGATTCTTCATGATTGATCACCATACTGCTCACTGGACCTCTGAGGGGAGACACGGGAAATAGGTTAGACACATAGGCTGGGTAATATTGAAAACTGCAGCTTTATGGATCCATCTGTTCTTAAAAAAAGTCTGTAATACTAAGGGTTCTTTGTTGTATACGCGTTTGCGGAAAATTAACTACATAACCAATTAAAATACTTAAGATGCTGCGTTCAAAGTCAGAGATATTACAATCCCGATGACATTAGGGTTATTTTTCAAGACTTTAAAAAACTCCCTCCAGAACCACACAAGACAATATCCTATGGTTTTCACATGCCGCAGTACTCCTCTATACAAGTAAATTAGTACGAGTAACCTTTCGATTGCAGTGCTTATACTTGTAACTGAGTATTCCTAAACTCTGGTACTTCTACATTTAGTAAAGTACAAGATCTGAGTATTTCTTCCACCTCTTTTACTCCATTAACTGTTAAGTTACTTTACAGATCTGGATGAATGATGTGAAATATAATCAAGTGTTAAATCAGACTTTAGTTCCACCTGGAGTAAATCCACCAGCTACCCTGCAGTATACAAAGTCCTTCAAACTAGCTGCTCCTTTACCAGCTTTGAGAACACTTTCATGATCAATCATTATAAAACATATCATATATATTATTCTGAAATGGACCAATCTGCACAACGACTACTTTCACTGTCGCTACTTTCACTATATTTTGATGAGAATACTTTTCTACTTTTACTTGAGGAACATTTTGAATGCAGGACTTTTACTGTTTTACGGGGCGGTGGTGGCGAAGTCCATAGGGACTTGGCTTGGCAACTGGAAGGTCACCAGTTCAAGTCCCGGAAAGACCAAGTGCTACCGAGGTGTCCCTGAGCCGTACATAATGGCAGCGCACTGCTCCTAACACTAGGATGGGTCAAATGCAGAGAAACCGTTTAATTACATAGTACCTGTACTACGTCATGACAATAAGTTGAATCTTCTTCTTCTTCTGTAACAGAGTATTCCTACACTCTGGTACTTCTACTTTTACTCAAGTACAAGATCTGAGTACTTCTACTTTTACTCTCAAGTACAATATCTGAGTACTTCTACTCTCAAGTACAAGATCTGAGTACTTCTACTTTTACTCAAGTACTTCTCAGGTCTGCACTCAATGCTTAAAACTAGCTAACCTACATTGTATTTAGCTAACGGGTATAGTCAGTTGGTAACGACAACAGGGCTAACGTTAGCTAATACAACCTAAACATTCCCACCAACGTTGCTCAACTTATTTCCGAAGTAAACAGTTGAATAAATAGCAACAATGCCTAGCCACAAAGTTGTATTTAACCAAACTGATTGTCAGTTGTTTTACGGTAACTTTGAACAGCTAACGTTAGCTAGCTAGCAAACAAATGACTTTGTTGACGGCTAACGTTCGAGATTGACAGTCCCTTTGTTATCAGTGTCACACACGTATGTTCCCCACTTTAAAATGTGTCAAGTTTAGTTTAGCCCTTGAGTAAAGCTGGGTTAATGCAGATAACGTTATAATATTAATGTTTGTATTTTTTTCTTACCTTCTATTTTGTGTGTTTTCGTTTTCATCGACATCCTTGCCCGCAGCCATGTTCGGTTTGGTTTGAATCCTCCGCTGTTATCATGTAGGCCCCGCCCTCCTAGTCGCCGATTGGTCACTTGCCGAATGTGGGCGTGACGTAACGGGTCTGATTTGCATGTTCCTCACTGTGATTGGTCGGTTTGAATTCGGAATCTTTATCAAGAGGAAAACAGCTTCTGCCTGTAACATCCTTATAAAGACAGTCTATCTATTGTAACATTTACCTAAATGCTATTCATAAATACATTTTAAAAACTGCAGTTATACATACATGCTAAATTGCAATTCCTTACTGTATTTCAGTTGAAGGGTTATTTGTGAAATGTCCGTCACACACATATCTAAATCTCCTTAATCATTTTGTCTCCTACTTTTGTTGGGGCACATTTGGAAAAAGGGGTAGACAAATTATCAAGTTAAGTACAATGCAGAAAAACTGACAGTAGTGGTGGTAAAAACGACATTTACTCAAGAACTTTACTTAAGTATTATAGTATTAAGTACAAGTTAGAGGTCCTTGTACTTCATTGAGTATTTTGATTGTGTGCTATGTTCTACTTTAATTTATACAGTCTATGCTTTTACTCCCTATACTTTTTATAGGGACATATTGTCATTTTGACCACTACATTCATTTCAGAGTTTAGTTGAAAGATACTTTGCTTTTTTTTAGATAGATAGACAGATATAGATAGTTGAGTAAATGACAAAGTTACAGACCTACTGTACAAAACAAAAAAAGAATAGAAAAATAAGAATGTAAAACAAAAATATTAACATAACGACAATATTAAGCAATTATTTAGCAAAGCAAGTCAAGTATATGTTTATTTTATTGAACGTTTTTTGATTGAAACCATCAAGGCAACACTCTTAGCATGTAGGGCCCAAGGATCATTTCTTCTTTCTACGTGGGGATTAACATGCATCCACCTGTTCATGCACATTTATAACGTAAAGGGGAAGAAAGCCTGGCCAGTTTTAAACAGTTTATTTTCTAACGCAGTCGAAAAAGAAACTTCAAAAACCACATCCTCCTTTTGAATATAGAATTTGTTTTTGGTGACTTACTTACATACAGTGTTTCTTATGTGCTTGATCTACCAGCTGATTTATCAGAGACGTGAGGAGCAGCTATGAGTTTAACTGCAGCAACGAGAGGGTTTGTCGTCTTCCTGCTCTCTGCACAAGGTACTGTACATCTAGATTCTACACTGTATAAAAAGATTTGATCAATAATTTATCGTTATTTATTTCTTTAAATTACTTTCACTTCATATAACAATTATGCCATTTCTACTGAATTCCATACTTTGTTATTATTTCAACTCAGCTTTAAAAGCCAGTTCAAGGACCTGTAAATTGCAGTGTATGTTTTCATTGTACTTCGCACAACAAGAATTGGGGTCTTTCAGTTTTCAAGAACATGTTTTTTTCAAGCAGCTTTGTACACTTCACTCTCTATAAAGTCAAGTAGTGTGCACCTTTAAAGATAGTAAAACTGTGTTGGTGTGGATGAAAGTAATGATTGTACGTAGCTTCATTAACAGAAAAAATAACCAACTAAATAAATTCATCGTTCAGTGGAACTTCCTCCATCTACCTGCGGTCATTAACTCATCTTAAAGGCAGTGTTTCTAGACTACGTTTAGAGACTTTTACATCTCTGACTTATAATGATCAATAATACATCAAACATAAAATACATTAAACATAAAATAATGCTATAAAACACAAAATTTCTTATTTCTTATTGCAGAAGAGGCAGATTAATGATATTAGCGTGGTGTTAAAGTAATCTTTACTGTTTTTGTAGATTCAATTTCAGACACAGATTGTTTAGGTTTGAGTAGAGCAAAATTACAATTCTGTGTTTAGGGTTCACAAAAATAGTTATCATTAATCTTAATTGTATGTTTGAGATGACTTCTGAAAGCCATTACCAGTTAAATGCTTACAAATATACAGGTATAATTTACCTCAATGCAGGACACAGCATTCATTTTAAGTTAAAAACAGATAGTTGCATCACCAAAAGTTAGAGAACGCAGTCTCAATAAATTGCTGTTCCTTTAGTAGTATACTGTAGTAGTATTCGTTTATTAGTCCCTGAGGGGAAAATGGGTTGCAGCACATCACAGAGGCATTTAAAAAAGTTAAGACAATACATCACTGACAACAACATAGACACAGATAAAAACAAACAGACATAAGAAAACCAGATATCGGCAGACATGACAAGGCGCCTATAGGCCCTCATTTGCTAAATAGTTCCTCTGTATGATGTCCTTCCTCAATGCATTAGACAAACTTCACATCTATAATGTGTCGTACCTGCATGTTGTGACGATGTCACAAAAATCAAAGCACACAAAGACACCAACACACACTGACACACACACACACACACACACACACACACACACACACACACACACACACACACACACACACACACACACACACACACACACACAACACACACACACACACACACACACACACACACACACACACACACACTGCCTTACTCCATTCTCATATCATGTGATGTTGATATGAGTCTGATAGTTTCTGATGTGCTCTGTGTTTCAGTGGCTCAGGGTCAGCGTGGCTGGGGAGTGACTTACTCTTCTACTGAGATCTGTGCAGTGAAAGGATCAACAGTGGAGATAAGCTGCAGCTACACACCCCCATCTAGATCGTATTTCAGTTTTAGAAAATAAATCTGGTTTACTAAAATGAATAATGGTGAATTTGTAGATCTTAGTTCAGACTCAGACTATGCAGGTCGTGTGCAGTACAGTTATAACAACAAAGACTGCACTCTGAGAATCTCCGACCTGAGAGAGAGCGACTCAGCTGAGTACAAGTTCAGGATTGAATCAAAGCAAGAAGCTTTCAAATATACTGGTTCACTTGGAGTCACTTTGTCACAGGTAACATTTTCATTTATGTTAGTTATTTCCAAATGTTTAGCACATAGAAACATAGCGTTCTCTTCATGAATCCAGGTGTCATGGTGCAAGTCCAGATGAGCAGACGTTTTGTCAAGGCAGAGCTGAAGTGTCAGAGCAGTTGTCGTCTACCTGATAGTTCTTCCTACGTCTGGTACGAGAACGAGAGTTCAGACTGGATGGACATCTTCTTCTTCAGTCTACTATAATCCTGCAGACAACTATTCCTGTGCTGTAAACGGACATGAGAACCACCGTTCTCCTTCAGTGTGTGAGTTCACTCAGTACGGACACATGTTCACACAGTACAATCACAATAAGACATAGAGTCATTTCAATTGACTTTCAAAATCTTAATGTAGACACAGCAGCATTAAGTATTACAACAAAAAGCTAAATTACCAAAATAAATGCAATATTGAGAAACATGTTGTGATGTGCTGCAGAGAAGCTGAACAATAACACCAAACTGTTCGGTAACATTTGCAAACAGCAAGTGAAGCAATATGAATTTTGACAGGGAATTTGTTGCTTTTTTCAAATTCATTGCAAGAGCCCAACGAATATATTAACGAGTAGCTTTTTCCAAATCAACCTTAAGGTTTACTGTGCATCCCCCAATAGACTTTAATCACATGTTTTCGGGTCTAAGATGTGATGGGTCCAGGATCTGCACTTTCAAACACACTAACCTGGGAAAATGTATGTTATTATTTCTCCTCCAGACTCTCCAAAGCTCCCCTCTGTGGCAGTGAGTCCCTCTGCTGAGATAGAGGAGGGCAGTTCAGTGACTCTGACCTGTAGCAGTGATGCTAACCCAGCAGCTAGCTACACCTGGTACAAGATGGATGGCAAAACAATCCTTCCTCCTTTCAAGAAAGGACCACAGCTTGTCTTCAGATCCATCCATTCCTCTGACTCTGGACAGTATTACTGTACAGCTGAAAACAATCTGGGGAGGAGGAAATCTAAAGACATCTTTATTCATGTGAAATGTGAGTGAAGTTTTAATCTGTCCAGTCTTTGCAGAAGAAGATTCTAATAAGTATAACTTCTTTCTTGAACTCTGCTTGTTTTACACATGTACAGTCTGCTGTAATTCTCTGAGCAGCTTCAACAGATTCCAGGTGTTTTGGGATCAAACATTCAATTGTTAGACCAGCTTCTAAATCTAAAATGCAGCTACACACAGCTCATCACAGTTTGTAACACCACATGTACTGTAAAACACCCTAAACTTAAAATAACCTTTGTAGCACTTCTCCTGCAGATCCTCCAAAGCCTCCCTCTGTGTCAGTGAGTCCCTCTGCTGAGATAGAGGAGGGCAGTTCAGTGACTCTGACCTGTAGCAGTGATGCTAACCCAGCAGCTAACTACACCTGGTACAAGGAGAACAGAAAAGTGTTTCTGGGAGCAGTAGGAAGTTATCATGTCACCTCCATCAGCTCTGAGGACAGAGGGAACTACTACTGCAGGGCTGAGAATCAATATGGAGCGGTCAACTCTACGTCTCTATTTGTAGATGTCCAGTGTGAGTAAAAAAACAAGTGAGTTTTCCTGTAGGGGGCACTAAAGACAACCTAGCCTGTCTTAAATAGAACTATTTCTACAACTTTTCTTCCAGATGCTCCAAAGCTCCCCTCTGTGTCAGTGAGTCCCTCTGCTGAGATAAAGGAGGGCAGTTCAGTGACTCTGACCTGTAGCAGTGATGCTAACCCAGCAGCTAACTACACCTGGTACAAGGAGGATGAAGACTCTCCAAAAGCTTCAGGACAGATCTTCACCATCACTGACTTCAGAGCTGAACACAGTGGGAGTTATTCCTGTGGAGCCAAGAACAAGTTAGGACGTAGTAACTCCACCTTAACTCTGATTGTTGTGGCAGGTAAGTTCTCCACCTGACTTTTTGATGGTATGATTAACAGATCGCATCACCCAGCAAACTATAGGGAAGAGATACTCAGATACTCAGAACCTCTGGAAACACCTACCACCTTTAACCAGTGGTGGAAAGTAACCTAGATCATTTCTTTAAGAACAGTACATTTTAGGAAAGGTATAAACTTTACTTGAGAATAAACGTAACTTGAGTATAAACTTT